TTAAATTAAAGCTAATGTAATCTATTTTATTATGTAAAAAAAAAATTTCGGACTTTATTTTGTCTTCACGGTGAAAATGGCTACCGAATGATATTTTTGTGTTAAAATTCTCGATTTTATTTTTTACATTTTTAACTTTATAATGCTATAACTTATTGAAAACTGTATTGATCAATACTANTTTTGTGTTAAAATTCTCGATTTTATTTTTTACATTTTTAACTTTATAATGCTATAACTTATTGAAAACTGTATTGATCAATACTATTTTTTTATGAGAAATAATATTTTTTAATAATCTCTTTTTCATTCGACATACTTTATTTTAATCAGGATATTAATAAGGAACTATCAGATCATGTAGCTTTTGAAATAGTCCACCAATTTTTTAAAATTAAACACTATCTAAAGATTTGCATTGAATCGTTTTTTTTTTTGATAGTGATTTTAATCACTGTCAGATATCATTATACTTGATCCAACTATGCCACGTCACCACTGTGCCGCGACCCCCCTGTGCTGGGTTTTTTAAAATTAAACATTATCTAAAGATTTACATGGAAGCATTTTTAGTGATAGCGATTTTAATCACTGTCAGATATCATTATACTTGTCCATAGTTGCCACGTCACCACTGTGCCACGACCCCCTCTGTGCTGGGTATTTTTATAATTTATTCGTCTAAATTACAATATTAAATTATTAAATATAAATTTCACAATATTTTCAATTGCAGTTATAAATATTTATTCATATATAACACTTTAAATTTTTTACATATTAAAATAGAAAACTACGAATTAATACTCACTCCTTTTCAAAATCACCATATGTTCCATAGCATATATAAAATATTATAAACAATTTTAATAAAATCATTTGAATCATTTTTATCGTAAGATTGACAATTTGATGAAATACAGTGAAATTTTAGTACAAAAGTTTAATTGGTAATATTTATGTCTTAAGCTATTTAATAATTTATACATTTATTACGGTTAATTATAGTATTATTATTCATTATTTTATATTTATAACATAGTTAAACGGAGAAGCGAAAAATTTACAATCGTAAATCGTCATAACCAATATTTATACAAAAACACATTGTAATCTGTAAATAACTTAGTACTGTTTAGTTTCTAAGTAAGTGTAATATATTTTCCGGTCATAGAAAAGTATTTTACATAAGACTAAGAAATCTTACTTAACTAATATTAATTAATTTTAGTAGAAGCTAAAAATACGTGTTGATTAAAGTGATCGTTAAAAATTAATTTTTTTACAGAGATTATATTTTTTTCATGTTTATAATAATGAATTATGAAAAATTTGAGATAAAATGATCAAATTTACATGTGCCCCGAGCGTCTAAAACTGCTTAAAACAGTTATTTTAAAAAAAAATTTAACTTTTCACAATAACATTTTTATGATTAACTTAGAATTACTGTTATCCCAGTAGAAGATATTACGAGGATTTCAAAATATAATTTTTATAATAGTTATATAAACAATTTCTATTGTGATGGTGTCATGTTACCGTTATTGTAGAAAATTATTATAATAAAACACAGACAGCGCATCCGATTCTAGAGACTGATAAATTGACGATTAATATTTATTGCAAAATTTGCAATGGTCTTAATTACTATTTTCAGCTTAAGGACCTGGTCATCGTGGTCAGTCGATTCTAGTGCTTTGTGTCATTCAGTCTCAGTACTCGGTTGTCACTGTCCGGCTTACTGCATAAAGTCAAGTCTTTGTTTTTTCTTTTCATCTACTTACTTTCGTCCTCGACACTTCAGAGTACTTGTGTCTTGCACTTCATCTGCACTTTATACCAAATTGTTACCCTTATTCCCTTCCTATAATAATGGCCTTTCGACACCCTCAGCTAATTCGGAGTATCAGCCGAGTACGGTAATTGCTGTATATTTATTTGTTTGGATTATCATCAATTAGATGGTACGCTCTAGCCGCAATTTTGGCACCTACTCACAGTTTAACTCGCATGGTTGGACTGCACTAATCCTCCCTTCCTTCTTTCATTGCTCATGTAATATTAGGTTAAGTAAAATTTTTGTAAGAAGTGTTGTTGTGTATCTTATTTCGTGTGTGATTCAAAATGAGATTGTTTTTTTTCCTTTGTGTAATTTTTTTTGTGCTAATAAAGTTACTATTTTTTTTAATTATTATATTGAGAGGCAAAATTTAAGTGAATTTTAATATATTAAGCATAGGAATTATTTAATTATTGTATTTTGTATTGGTGCTATAAAATTTTGTTTCAGGTGATTGCAACTGACCAGTGTGCACCACCTTTTATCTGCGTTTCTGTGAATTATTTATTGATTAAATTGTTGGTTGTGTTATTATCATCTAGTCAAAAATACATTTAGATAGTGAAAAATATTTCTAGTCAGAGTGTGCACTTCAAATGACTTCGTTTAGTGTGTGTGCCAAGTCGGCACATAATAATTATGTAAATAATAAATAAATAATTATTATTTATCATGAATTTTAAATATTGTTTTTTTGTGTTTTTCACTGTTGGCCTTAAGAAGGCAACATTTTATTTTTGTATTACTAGTTACTTACAACTCACAGTTACCATTCCAATAAAGTTCCTATATACATTATTTTGTTCCCCGCAGGGGAATCCACAAGGATTACGGGCCTAACAACCCCGCGGACCCTAGTTATTTCATTGGGGATGGTAACACGTACGACTGTTCTTAGCCGGTCATGACTTTGGTTAGTTGGGACCGTTAGGCCTGGGCATACCTACTTGCTAACAGCGAATAGACCCCCATAACCAAGCCATACCAAGTGAAAGTTGCTAACTTATCACAGGGTAGTTAGCCGAAAGGTAAAGTGACCATTGGGATCCTCTATGGCATCTAGCGCACCATAGAGTATACAGCCTTATTACAGTATCGAGCTCTGCTGTAACGGAACTTTATTTCTCGACTACTCGTGCGAACTATATGGACAAAAACATAGAAACACCACAAAACAACGAACTTGAGATGATCAGGGATCCTACGGACAACTTGTCGGAACTAGATCGTGAGCTGGCGACTCTTCGCAGAAGAATCGCCGAACATGAAAGTCTCAATGCGAACAACGGGACATTTGGTGAACCGTCTACTAGCAAAGAGACAGCAACGTCAATAAATGCAGACCAGAAATCGCAAGATCAACTGGGAGCAGTAGCTGACAAAATGGAGGGTCTAAAACTTAGACCTGAGAAACTGAGCGGCAGTCTCAGAGGCGCAAGCTGAAGAGATGCCGAGCAATCATGGAGGGACAGAAGAACCTATCAAAGGAGGGAGACAAGGGAACCGATGACTTGAAAAAATCAAAGGGAACCGAAGCTCAAAAACCTTAGGACAAGGATCAAGAACCTCCATGTAAGAAAACTCATTGGGTACCAACCTACAGGAACGTGGTAACCGATGATAAAAAAGTGGCTGTGTACCTCACAGGCTACTCCACTAACAAGTTGACCACAGAACAGGGGTTACTCATTGAGTCATGTGTTGGAGACTTGATACTGTCGAGTACTGATGGAACCGACGTACCAAGGTTTGAAGACACCAGACTCACTGATGGAGCACTTGTGATCAGTGCAGCCCAAGAGAGCTCTCTTAAGTGACTCACTGATCATGTCAACCTGATAAAACCTTGGGACGGTGCAGAACTCCAATTGGAAGCCTACAACTCGATCAAGTACAAACGGATGGTCACTCATATACCAGGGCTGCCAAAAGAGTACAAGAAGATCTTGGAAATTTTGGCAAAACAAAATCCAGAGCTGACATACGGCGATCTGGAAAGTCCACCATGAGACAGAGGTTAGCCCGAAAGGACAAACTTTGTTTCTAAGTGTGGACGAAAAGAGCATAGCCAAACTGGAGGAACTGAAGCGCAGTCCATATTTTGGAATGGACAGTGTTTGCTTCACAGACTATGTTGCCAAGCAGCCACCAGACCAGAAGGATGTGAAAAAATCTAATCCTCAAAAATATGGGAAGAAGAAGACCTGGGGACAACGGGAGGACATCACCCACAAGGAGGGCTGTGTGACATAGGAACTGTTTCAGACACCTTTATCACACTCAGTACAGCGTGCTTTCTCAAGCGTCAACATCAGTTTTTCTGAATGGCTGACAATAGATTTCACTTCACGCAAATAAACCTGCATCACAGTATAGGGACCAGTAGTGTATTACTAAGGACCCTAACTGAGAGGCATACAATACCCTTACAAATAGCACTTATTCAGGAACCATGGATAAATGGTGACCAGATTAAGGGACTAAATCTAAGGAATTTTAAACTGTTTCATAAACTAGCAGATAAACCAAGAACTTGCATTTTGGTTAATAATAAAGTTAAAGCCAGCTTAATACTTAATCTATCAAGTGCAGACTTGACTATTATTAAAGTAACACTAAATGATGGTAAAAATATTATAGTAGCTTCAGGATACCTACCATATGAGGTCACAGACTCAGGTAGGGACCTAACTATCCTCTTTAATTATTGCAAAAATGAAAAATTAGAACTAATCCTAGGTATGGATGCTAATTCACACCATGCTATTAGGGGGAGCAGTAACATCAACCAAACTGGGATAACTACAGGGCAGATCTCTCTCGTGACCTGAATAACCTACAGTTTAGATTGGGGTCGAGACAGAGTACTGAAAGGGCTGTAAATATACTACAAGACTCCATTGTCTCGGCTTACAAAGAAAACTGTCCTTTAATAGAAAGGAAAGGTACAGGACAGGGTGTAGCTTGGTGGAATGCTAACCTGTCTAAATTGAGAAAGAGTTCACATAAACTCTTAAATAAAGCAATGAAATCAGGTTTGGAACAATACTGGGAATCCTATAAGGATCTCCAAAGGAACTACAAATCTGCATTGAAAAAAAAGTCCAAAAGAGAAATCTGGAAGAAGTTCTTTGGGGATATACAACAACTCCCTTAGCAACTAGACTTCTGTGATCACTAAGGAATGGACCAAACAAAACTGTCTAGGCAATATTACTGCCAGACGGAATGTTCACCAATAACGATAATGAAACATTTAATGTACACACATTTTCCTGACTCTACAATTAACAACAGAGAACAGGCACATGATGCACAGGATCATAGTATAAAAAATGTGCCACAACCCCACTGTGCTACCATTTTTATCACAACTTTTTTTGCCGCGCATTCAACAGTTGTTACGTCACAAATTCGAAGGTTTATGATTTTTTGTTATGTCTACTTATTTGTTTTATCGCGCGAAAGAACCTTTTTCTGACACAGCGGTGTCAACCACTCATTATTTTGCCGCTGACTGCTAGTTAAGGCGATAAAAGAGAAATATAATTAAAATCGAATTGTTTATCAGTATTGATCCCTTCCAAAAAGACTGGCCGTTATCGATTTGAAATTACCGTTAGGTCGGTGTTGACTCTTCTCTATTCTTACTTCTGTCATTGACCGTGCTAGGGAGCACACATTTGTTGTTTTATTAACACTTTTTTTACAATGATGGAGTAGAGTCGCCAACGGTGAATGGCCAGGTCTTTTCGACGAAGCATCCAGGCCATCGGATGGGTCTCTTCGGAGAACAGGTATCGTTTTCTTTTTTATATTATATTTATGTAATGAGCTATAATTTATTAATTATTTTATTGTAAATTAACTTAATTTTGTTTATGTATGGAGAGCACGTGTTTCCCTTTTCTTCTAACCAACACTAAGAAGCGAGTGTCCTAGTATTCTTAGCTCCTAGTATTCTTCATTAATTTCCGATTAACATTAACGGATGTGTTCCAATACCGTCCGTGATGTTTGTAATATTACTTGTTTGTTTTGTTTAAATATTTTATTTTATTTGTATTGCCTTTATTTGTAGACATGGTTTTTGATGCATTCGCATTTTTGTCCATGTTTAACTTAATTTTCTTTTTTTAAGAATTAAATTAAATTTCCTTATTAATTTCAACTGTAATATTTATTTTATTGTGCGAGTATCTTAATTACTCGCGTGTATTTATCCCTATTCTTTAATCTAGACACGGGCTACTGTATGTTTTACATATCAACCACATACAACTTTGATTGTTATAATTGTGTTTAATAAACCACAAGGTATTATAGTAATTTATACATATAACGACATATTAACTTAGATTATACTTTTAATTAACTTAAAATTAAATTCCACCTATGGTCCGGTAATCATATCTGATAGGTGTGACACCTCGTCTAGGTGGTGGCGACCCTTGCTACTATAGCTAGTCGTTATGCAAGTGGAAAACCATGTTGTTGTTACAGGCCGAATTATAAAAAAGCCCACATACACAGTCAACAATAAAATTCAACAATTGCTACGACCTCGCCGCTACGTTATATTATATATAATATTAAAACAGTAAGTATTATTATAATTTATATTTACTACTTATGTTGATTATGATTCATAATCTATAAAAAAAATAAAAGAAGAATAATTTTCTTAATTAGGTATATCTATTTTGATATAGTCTGATAGAATTTCAAAATGGCCTACTTGAAATCTCGCACACCAAAAAAAAAAAAACTGAAATGACGGCCTTGATTCTAGGCCAATAACGACGTTATCCATTGATCCGTCTGATTTAAATGCATTAACCCCAGCACATTTTTTAATCGGTAGTACCTGAACTACCGATTAAAAATACCTGAACCTGATTTTAAAAAAATAACTACCAACTGGTTTAGAAGATGACAGAGTGTGACGCAGTTCACACAGCAATTTTGGAATCGATGGCAAACTGAATACTTTTCTACTTTTCAATATCGAGCGAAATGGAAAAAATCTTTGGGAGCTGTCCCAGAAAAGGATGATTTGGTTTTAACGAAGGAAAATAACCTACTGCCTCTTCAATGGAAACTTGGTAGTATTTCATATAAAATTTATTTTTAATATAAAAGCCCACTCGCAACTAATATAGCAATTGAATTTTTAACTATTATAAAAATTATATTTTTGAAATCATCCTAAAATCTTCAATTGAATTTTCTTTTAAATTAACTTATTCTAAGTTAATGATAAAAAATTTTATTGTAAAAAATTAATATTTTTTTTTTGAGATAACTATTTTAAGTAGCTCCAAACGCCGAAGGCAAATGTTAATTTTACCATAGGTTCTTAAATTTTGCATAACTCATTCTTATAAGCATGAAAAAAATATAAAGTCTCTGTAATAAAATTGATTTTTAACGGCCACTTTAAAAAAACACGTATTTTTAGTATAGCTTCTAATAAAAATAATTACAATTAGTTTGATAAGATTGCTTTGTCTTGTGTAAAATACTTAGCCATGTAATATAGGTAATTATTGTTAAAAGTAAAAGTAAAACATTTTTGTAATGTTTGGTTTAATTGTAATTTCCTGATCTATTGTTACTAAACCAGGAATAAATATTTATAAACATTTTTTGATTGTATTATTAATATTGTATTTGTAAAAAGAAGAAAAACAAAATATTTTAGTATATAAGACGAAATGTAATGAATTGTAGGGGAGAGGATAGAAAACCTCGGGAGTATCGAAGGTAATCTCTTATTGCGTAGTACGTTTATGACAATAAGTTTTTCTTTTGCGTATTGTATTATTGTACCTTAAAGTGTATCATTGTTTTTGTACTTTTTATATTGTTTTAAATATATCATTAATAATTACGTTTGTGTTATTATTGAACTTTTATAACTATAAGTTAAGACTAAATAGGGTTGTTTCAATTTATAATACAAAAGCAATGACCGAAAATATAAAATTGACTCTAAAAAAAAAGTTTTGAGAGTAATTACTAAAAAAAAATTTATATATCAACGTATTTTATTATTTATAATTGTTTTTTTCTATAATGAAACTCAACAGTACTAAATAATTTATAGATTATAATGTGTTTTTGTACAAATACTAATAATGACGATAGTCGATTATTCGCATCTGTGTTTAACTATGCTATTAATACAAATGAATGAATAATAAGATACTATAATTAACCGCCATTAATGTATAAATTATGAAATAGTTAAGCAATCTAATAATTACTAAAATTTCTCTCTATATATAAATTTGTCAATTTATACAGCTTACGATAAAAATAATTCAAATGATTTTATTAACATTATTAATAATATTACATACATACTACGGAACATCTGGTAATCTTATAACGGAGTGAGTATTAATTCGCATTTCTTTATTTAAATATGTAAAAAATTTAAAGTGTACTCAAAAGGAACAATAGAGGATATCTCGTGGAACTAAGGACTGGTAGATTTAATTAGTGAGAAATAGGTATGGGAGGCTTCAATGAAAAGAAGAAATCAGATGATTTGCCTGTAGAAGAATAGAAAATATTAGGCGGTGTTGGCATTAGATGGTTAAAGGATCTTTTAATAAAATCTTATTAAAAGGAATTTATGCCTGGTAAGTCAATAATGGAGCTATTATTTTAAATTACTAGAGAAATATAAGGAGAGGTGCCGTGGTGTATGTTGTTTGCTGACTATACAATAATAGGAGAAAATAAGAAGGAAATTAAATAAAGGCTAGAGGTATGGGTATCAACTATTAATAAAAAGGGTTTAAGAATATGTAGGAACAAGACAGAATATATAAAGTACGAGTTTGACAAAGGAGAAAACGAGGTAGATGAAATGATTTACAATTTTAAAAAAATTGTTGTCAAGACTTAAAAATACATATATTTTCTACAGCTTAGATATAGCATGGACTGAATGGAATAAATATTTAAAATGTGATCACTTACAGTATATTGGACGATATAATGGAATGGAAGATGATCTAAACATACATTCTAAAATAAAAACACAGTATTTATCTGGAATAAATAATATTAGAAATTGGCATAATGTAGAACCTCTAAAACAAAATAATGATGTAAATAATTTTAAATAAATAGTAATAAGTAAAAAGTTATTAGCGTTTGGAAACTTATTATAGGATCATATTGTCACACTCTTGCTAATCGGACCATACCTTGAGTGAACACGTTCTTCATTATATTCTAATTTATCTAAGAAATGCAGTGAAAATGAATTTTTATTCAATGAATATAACACTTATCCTACTTAATTATTTAAAATATAAAGTAAGCTCACTTCCAATAACCTTTCGCTTTGTCACCATAAACAGATATAACGCAGGTTTTTACATTACTGTAAAATACAAAACAATATATATCAAACAACCTGAGCCTCAAAATAAAATAAAAATTCTATGATTATTTTGTTTATAATGTTTAAGCCTAAGTTACTTAAATTATATTATAAAATTGTTTTCTTATAATATCAAAACCTATCAACGTACGTTTAAAGTAAATTTATTTAATCGTGTCTATACTTCTGGTCCAACAGGTAGAAATAAAAGTTTTTAATATAATTTCTTATAAAGATAATCTATAATAATTTATACTTATAAAAGTTAAATGAAAATTATTTATAAGATTATGCATATGTTTATTATAAAATTATATATATACAGATATGTATATGACTTAACAAAACCCGCGCTTCACCTTCAAGTGCGAGTTTAGATATTTCCATCACTAGACATTTCCAGGCCGCAATTGTTTCTTTCGTCTAGCTATAAAAATATTAATAATTTCCTAAATAATGATTACATATTTTATTATACTACATATAATTTTTAACATTTAATTATAAGTGATGCAAGTTTATATTTTAAAACTATCATATACAGGGTGATTTTTTTATCATAACCCACTCCATTACTTGCAGAATAATAATAATTTAAAAATTTTCTTTTTTCATTATCTTTAGTTACACATTATTCTTGAATTTTTAACTATGTAATACTTTTTAAGTTCATCCCTTATGCCTTGGAAGGGGGTCAACTTTGTTTTTTTAAATGATAACACATATTTTTAATTTAATAAAATGTTTGAGTTTTTAATTCAATAGTAAATGGCATTTGAATTTTTAATATAACTTTATTAGCTTATTAGATATAAACATTTAAAGTTTCAAAATTTTGAGTTAATATACATGTATAATACACATGGGATTGTAAATACAGGTAGCTAATTGGATTTTTATGACATTGCTGTCTCAGTCACGGATTGTTTATTATCAATTATGATTATCAATAGATATACTTTCTGTATTGTCAGTTAGTGTATTTATAAACTCATAACAATGTGCCTTACTACAATTGATAATAACAATGCTGTGTACCTGCTAATATCGATGTTATAAAAAACCAATTAGCTACCTGTATTTGTAATCCCTTGTGTATTATACCTGTATATTAATTCAAAAATTTGAAACTTTAAATGATTATATCTAATAAACGAATTAAGTTATATTAAAAATTCAAATGCCATTTACTATTAAATTAAAAACTCAAACATTTTATTAAATTAAAAATATGTGTTACCATTTAAAAAAACAAAGTTGACCCCCTTCCAAGGCATAAGGGATGAACTTAAAAAGTATTACATAGTTAAAAATTCAAGAATAATGTGTAACTAAAGATAATAAAAAAAAAAAATGTTTAAATTATTATTATTCTGCAAGTAATTGAGTGGGTTATGATAAAAAAATCACCCTGTATATTACTAGTATAGTAACGATTTTAACGTTCAATAATATGGTCCATAGTTAAGTTNAACACTTTTAAAGTTAAGTTGAAAAAGTTTATTTTTTGTAAAAAAGTTGTCATTATTAATCCCTCTCTGTGGGTAGGTAAAGTGTCAGATTTATAAAAAAAATAAATAAACAAATCATAGTAAAATTAATACATACTTATTCTCGTATCGAAATTAAAAATTGTTGTAAAGTCTTAAAAAAACATTTTTTGTACAGCTTAGATAAAGCATGGTCCGAATTTGATAAACATTTAAAACATGATCACTCACAGTTTATGGGTTACTATGAAGGAATGGGACATGATATGGACATGCATTCTAAAATAAAAAGACAATATTTATCTTCAATAAATAGTATTAGAAATTGGCATGGTGTAGAACCTCTTAAACAAAATAATGAAGTAAATAATTTTTAAATAAATAGTAATAAGTAAAAAGTTATTAGCTTTTGGAAACTTATCATAGTATCTTATATTAATTTAGTGTCCATAGAACATTTAGACGACATTTGAGGGTAGCAATACAAACATTTGAAAACTGAGGTCGATCAATTGCACTCTTGCTGATCGAACCATACCTTAAGTCAACCGTTCTTCAATAAAATACAATTTATCTAAGAAATGTAGTGAAAATTAATTTGTATTCAATGACTATGATACTTAATATTGCCTATTTAGTTATTCAAAATATACAATAAGCTTCCTTTTAAAAATCTTTCTCTTTGTCACCGTAATCAGATTCATCATAAGTTTTTACTAGTAATGGGAATTTTTGAATATTTTAAACTATCGAATATCTATTTTAATTATTTTTATAAACATTTTATTCCATTGAAAATTATTAATTTATTATCGTCTAAATGATTTTCGAAATATCTGTCATGATAATTTTTTTATATTAAGTGTAATAGAGTTAAGGTATTAATAAATGAATCGAATGAAACAAGCGGCTTTGTAAAATGGTGGGCTGTTAAAAAAATTTCCTCCGTTCCAGTAAATTTTGAAATGACATACATAATGACATACAATACATAATAAGGTTGGGTTGGGTTTATTAATTTTAATAATTCAAATGACAACTTAAACCTGCGATTCACCTGTTGTAACTCTCGCGTTAGTTATAAAAATGTAAATAGCTTCATAACTAATGGTCATATATCTTATTATACTACATATATTTTTGAACATTTAATTAAAATCGCTCAAGATTATATTTAAAAACTATCTTTTATACTACTAGTATATTAACGTAATTAATACAATAATATGATCTTTAGTTGGATGTTTTTGCACAGTCATATGCAAATTATATTGCCAGGACAGGTCAATGTGATAACGGTCCATTCAATTCAGTTTTTGGATTATTATTCTCATCTCGTCCAGTTTCTAATGATGTAGGAAAAAAAGTACCTTATGAATTGTATATACATTTTGATAAAGACGATGAGCCTTTTGATTTTGAAGCAAATGAGGATGAAATGATTAAATGTAAGTTATAATAATTAATCCGTATTATTAAGAAGTTCTGAAAATATATTATAATATTATGTTATTAAAGTTTAAGATTCAAGATCCGAATTTTCGCAGGTCAATATTTAATATATTATTTTTAAATTACCAAATTAAACGATTTTATATATATTTAAAATATACTATTTAATATATAGTATATCGATTTATGTAACACTATGAAGTGCGAGATTACACACACCCACAGTACATATCCATTAAAATTTCGAAAAAATGTATTATGTACTTTTATACAGTAATAAATTAACAATTCTTTGTTACAAACCCAAAAATAGTTTACTTACATAGTCAGTATTATATTTTATAATCTCTTATTTCATATTACTAAAATATAAAATATAAAATTTAATTTTTTTAATAAAATATTGTTGAATACATTCATTATGAGAAAGAAAACGTATTGATTATAATCCAGAACACCTTTTATTATTTTTGCCCAACAGGCACAAAGGTACAGTTGGGGGGTAAAGTCGGTAAATAATATAGTATTAACGATTGAATGAAAATAAATTACATTTTTTCATCTTAATTACATTAAAAGCGAATTATTAAATAAATGTTTTTATTGTTTTATCAATTTTTTTAATTAATAATGCAGATAATATAACTTCACGAAATTTTTTAGCAGTTTCGAGAGTTATTTAATGATGAAAACTTATAATATAATATAACTTATTTCAGAATAGGAGGAAAAATATGATTTTGTGGTTACCGCGTTTATTAACAATAAGAAACAAAAAGAGGTTTTATGTTATTTTAATGCAAAACCTCATTTAGGTCAAAAGTGTAGATTCGATTTATTATGGTTTACCTAACGTCTTATTTTGATGACAATCCTTCGTTTATGAGAATCGAGTTATGGCTAAATAATTTTACATTTATAAACTCATTAATATTTATTTACTAAGCTGAATGATTTTATGTAGATGAAGATAATACATTGTGTCGACTTTCAACTTGTATAATTTGGAAAAGTTCCATTAACATCGGAATTGGTGTCGTAAAAACAAATGAAATTGTAATTAATGATATAGTAATGCGTGGATCACAGTATATTATTGTAGCAGTAACACATCCTAGGCCACGCGAATTAGGAAAATATAAAGAAAATATTACACCTAGAAATCTTGAAATCATGAAACATGATGGTTACTTCGAATATCTTCAGAAAGAAAAAGATCGCAACAAAAATATAATTAAATACGAACTAAAGTCAAGTTTCCAAAAACTTATGAGATATTTCTTTAGAAAAAATGTCAGCATTGAAAAAAAAGAAAACTAAATATTCGCACATAGTTTTTGATGATTATGCTGTTAAAATTAATGTTTAATTCCAACTAAATTAATCTTTGTGAAAAATTGTCCATCTCATTATTATTATTTAGCAATTTAAAATTTAAATTCTCAATTTATATATTAATGATTTAAAAAAAAGATATTCAAAACACTTATGAAATTATTATTTATATTGATATATAAATTATTAGCAAATAATAGGCTCTTAATAACCTATTAGTAATATGCACTCTTTTAATACGTGTATATTATTTAACATCATGCGATCGATATGTGTTTTATAATTTTGAATCTTTTTTGAAATGCCATTAATTGTTAATTATTTTCATGTAAATATAACTTAAATCAATGAACACGTCCATTTTCCGCAGATTTTTAATTTTCTATCGTCTCTTCTTTGAGATTATTATTAATTAGTAGAAAACAAGTATATATACATATAAAAATAATTAAAAACAAAAAAAAAATTTGTTTTCATACTATTAATTTTTATTTTTTGGTCCTTTAAAGTTCATTTTAATGAAAACTTATAATAAAATAATGTTTCAATTTATTTTATTTAACTCAACTTTCAAGTTTGAAATTTACATTATTAAATAGAAAATTTTATGAATATTAAAAAAGTGGTATTGTTAAGATTACTATTTACAGTAAATTTATGAGAAAAGCTCAATATTTCTTTAAAATCACTAGTTTTATTTGTTCATTTTTATTATAATAATAAAATATTCTTAATAGAAATCATTTTAATATTTTCTATACAACTTTTGGTGTTTAAAAAGATTCTAAATTTGAAATATTCATAACCTAATTAATTTTAATGATTTACTTTGTAGGGATTAACTAAAATCTAAGATAACATGTGCAAAATAAATAATATATATGTTTATCGTAACTGCACACTGCAAAGTAATATGATAACACTTTATTGTACTATGGTATCTAATGTATTATTTTTAGTCTCGCGGTATCCACCAATCCGACAATACTTAGTATTTGTAATTGTATTGTTTTTATATATTTATATCATATTTTTAATGCTAAAAAATTATTAATTATTATAAAAGTTAAATTGTAGTATTTGTAATAAAGATAAAATAAATACCATAACTTTAACTAAAAAACCAATCAAAATGTTGTTAAAAAAATTAACTCAATTGAGCGTATTATAAAATTTGATTATAATTGTAAGAATCTATCTTTAAATTCAGGTGAAACTAAATATCATTTTTTTTTTTAATTTATGATTTATATAGCAACGTGTTACAAAAATATTTTGAATATTATAGACTGGTAGTAGCACACGCAAATAGAGTTAAAAAATTAATAAATTACAAAGTAAAATTATTTACTTTTGTAGTTAAATACTTTTATCATATCAAATCTAATTCAACAATAAATACTTTAAGAATATTAGAAATTAATGATTTTAATTGTTTGTATGGAAAAAGCTGGTTAAGCTACTTTTTATTTGAGTAAGAGATTTTTAAGGGTAATATCTTCAACTAAATACGAATTGTAATCATTTGATGTATCGTTATAAAAAGTAGGTCAAGTAAAGGCTGGGAAACTAAATCGTAGCCACAAAAAAACCACATACTAAAATAATATTAACATAAATAAGAAATTTCTTCTCACGAGGGAAGACTACATTGGTGGGAACCTTGATATTTATTTAAGTTATTGAATCTAAACGAGATAATAATCAAATGATTTCAACATTTTTTTCTAACTAAAAAAAAATGCATAATATTCGTCGTCCAAGGTGGATTCGAACCTCGTACGCTCAGTGAAAAAGACACAAGTGTTACCGATTCGACTACTGTTCGTTGCTTACACCGGATGATAAAATTAGCAATTTAAGCTAACCCAAATTTAAAAATTACTTTTTCAACTTTAAAAAAGTAAAAAAATTTTAATAAGTATAATTTCTTATGTCTTATGAAATTTATTATATGTCAATTAAATGTTATAATATTCATGAAAGTCAGTATATTCCCCTTGTAAGATATTTTAAAATAAAATAAAATACAAAATCCACAATTTTAACACAAAAATAGAATATTTTTAATACGGTAGCCATTTTCATCAAGAAGAAAATCTATATTACGATTTTTTTGTCATAGTAAAAGTATATAATATAAACTTTAATTTAAAATTAAACAAAAGTGTTAATATTTCTGGAACATTTTCAAAAATTAAATTGTAAAAGCTTATCTTGTGTGCAAAAATTGCTTTTTTGAATCTCCCTTTTGAGCAAGTTAAGGTTCAAATTTTCAAAAAATTTATATCAAGCGAAAAAAAAATATCTAAGGTTTCGAAATAAAAAATAAATTTTTCATTTTTCAAAAATTTATGGCAGTTTTAAGTATAAAAATTTTTATTTTAAACAATGATTTTTACACAAAAATTATTTTTTGTTAAATTCAACGGCCATTTTCTGATAGATGAAAAGATTTTTTTTGATCTTATACTATTTATTGTAAGCTTTAATTTGAAATATGTTTAAAGGACGCAGTATTTCTGGAACATTTTTAAAAGTTAAGTTGAAAAAAATAACTATTTGTGAAAAAGCTGCTATTTTAAATTCCTCATTTTGGGAAAGTTAAGATTCAAATTTAAAAAAAATTTATGTTAAATGACAAGAAAATACTTAAGGTTTCAATATAAATTATGGTTATATAACTTATGTTATGGTAGTTTTAAATATAATTAACATCACGATAGGAGCTAATTTTTTTTACAAATATTACATTTTTTGTTTAATTTCGGTGGTAATTTACTCATAGAAAATAAGGTGTCAGGACAAATTTATTTTTTCATTTTATAGTACATGACATAACCTTTAATTTAATATATGTTTAAAGGACGCAGTATTTCCCAAACATTTTCAAAAATTAAGTTGAAAAAGTTCTATTTTTTATACAATGTTTCAAGTTTTGAACGCCCCCAATATATAAAGAGAAATTGTCCAATTTTAATAAAAAGTATGTCAAATGAAAGAAGTACATATAATATATTTAGAAGAAAAAAAATTTGTATTGATATAAACATTTTTCGAAAAGTTATAGCATTTTAAAATCGAAAATTTTAACACAAAAATACAATTTTTTTTACTACGGCAGTCGTTTGCACGTAGAAGATAAAGTGTCGGGACAAATTTTTTTTTTATTTTATAGTGCATGACATAAGCTTTCATTTGGTATATGTTTAAGGACGCAGTATTTCCGAAACATTTTCAAAAATTAAGTTGAAGAAGTTAGTTTTTATAAAAAAAGTTGCTATTTTAAATCCCCCCCTTGTGAGCAGGATAAGTGTTAGATTTTCAAAAAAATGATATCATATAAAAGCGAAATATCTAAGGTTTTAATACAAACAAAAATTATATTGATTTGTTAATTTATGAAAAAGTTATCGAAGTTTTAAGAAAAAATGGTGAAAAAAATGATGAAATTTAACGAATTTAAAAATTGTAATTTTTAAAAATTTTTAAGGGTAATGTTTTCAATTAGATACGATTTGTGATCTTTTGACATATTATTTATCAAAATCGGTCCAGTGAAAGCTGAAAAAAAGTGGCANATATTATTTATCAAAATCGGTCCAGTGAAAGCTGAAAAAAGTGGCAACAGACAAAAAAAAACACATCATAGTAAAATTAATACCTTCTCAGCTTCGTATCGAAGCTAAAAGATAGTAATATTATTTTAATATGAATAAGAAATTAACAAAGCAAGACTACATTGATGGGTCCTTGATATTCATTTTTAATAAGATAATAACTAAATGAATTTTGAATTTTTTTTCAACTTAAAAAGAATTGAGAAAATAATTCATAAAAAGTCAATTTGACGTACAGGGTTCAAATCTCGTACTTGTACATGAATGACATTAGTGTTACTAACGCGGCAACCGTACATCGAATTTAGCAATAGATAAAAAGGACGATGTAAGCTAGTTCAAAATTTCAAAGTTGTATATTTTCGACTTAAAAAGGTAAAAAATTTTAAATAAGGTTAACATTATATTAAATGTAAGTTAAAATTAATATAATTTTCATAAAAATTGGTGTACTGCCTTATTTAGGTATTTTAAAATAAAAATAATCTTTTTAAAGTTATAATAGTTCAAAGTCAAAATAAATATTTTCGAATAAAAAAATGAGGAGTTTGATCTCCTTTCTTAATACGCAAGGTAGAGTCCACTAATTTAAAGTTTTTCTTTAACTTTGACAGTCATTTTCACTATGTGGACAGTTCAGAGGTCAATTTTTTCAAAATAAAGTATATTATAAGCTTTAATTTAAATTTATATATGTTAGTATTTCCAGAGCATTTTCAAAGGTCAAGTTAGAAAAGTTCTACTTTCTAATCGCGTGGAAATGGTCTGATTCTTCTGGAGAGCAGACTGAATTTTTTCTACTACATGCTAATCTCTTAATAAACCTCTTTTTCAAAACTAAAATTAACACCCTCACTAATATAGTTTGAAGGACTAGGTATATTAGTCATTCATATAACTAGACAAACTCTAGAAAAAAATGTCCAAATTTTCATATATATGAATTTGTACTATATATTTGGAAGTTGTAATGCATACAATGTAAGGAAAATTTTGGATAAATAGTGATAAAAATTGTATATTTGTGTACGAATTTATATAATTACATTTAATCATTATATAATGATATAATTACACTATTTGTTTGTAAAATTAACGTGTATATAAAAAATATCATACTGACGTTTTGGGAATTTATGGATCATTTCTTACAATGATTTCATAACTTAAAAACTGTTATTATTTTCACAACTTCCAACTAATGCATATGTTCAAATTTATTGTATTACGATAATTTTCTTCTTTCATTATTAAAATTAATCTAGAAGTCAAGGTCTCTTACCGTATATTTATGTGTTGATGAATATTAAAAATTGTTTTTAAGGATTTTTTTTACAATTATAACCTACTTTCGCATTTACTAACCAGTTTACCAATTATTAATCACATGTATGTGATACCCACACGCAATATGTGCTACTATTATAAGGACTTTCAACACATATCGTTTACATTTTTTTTTTTGTTTTTTTATTTTATATTACTTGTAAATTATCATTTTAACATACAATTCAAACGGAAATCACGCAATTATTTTACTTTATTGTATAAAAAAAATACATTCCTTATGTATATTTTTCTACACAATAACTTTGAATAAAGTAAGATTACATAAAACAAATTCAATTTATGAATTATTCTAAAGTTTTCAAAGGATAATCATGTTATGTATTATTTGCAATTATTCAAAACCTTGAAGTTCATTAATAGTACATGAAATTACTTAAAATGTACTTGAAATTTGTTTATGAAGTTGAGAAATAAATTATTTCTGTAATTAAAATATTACCTAACTATTTTTTCTAACAGTACAAATGATTCACTGAGAATCTTTGGAAAGTTCAACGCAGGACATAAATAGTTCCTGTGAAATATATAGTAGTGTTTTTGTAAATTTCGAATATCCGTTCACGGGAGATGTTTGCTCAGTTTTTTTGTGAAAAAACACTTTGATTATAATTTTTACTTTAGTATCTTTTGAAAAAAAACTTTATTTTCTATAAATTTTCCAATGAACAACGTTTAAGACTCAATTTAAAAATGTTAGTGGCACAATTTACTTATAGAATGTTTTATTTGTAAATTGTAGAAATTCGGGATTAAACTGTTTTGAATAAAAATTTTGAAATTTTCTAGGCGCAAAATATAATTTAGGGATATGCTAATATTATAAATGTGATATTTTAATGACTTGTTCATTACTATCTAGTTTGATAACAGTATGAAAATTTCTGCAGGAACTATTAAAGTGGAGGCAAAATACATTTTTAATATTCGGTTTAAATATTCTATTAATTAGGAAGTGGTAACCGAGACCACCCCTACCATTGGAATCACTACTTTTTGGAAACCACGCATAAAAAAGTGTTTAAATTAAAGATCATTCTAGATAAATCCATCATAGATCATTCGATTGTATTTTTATTGGACTTGATTCTAGTTGGATAATTTGCCCCATATGTCGCAAAATATAATATAGCCTTACGTTTAATGATCAAGTATTGACAGTATCATGTTTTCTTTCATGTTATATGGTTAAGTACAAATTATTTGAGAATTATATATATATATATATATATATATATTAATATTAATAAATAGTTAATTTTACACTTATCAAGTAAATTTTTAATAATTAACATATAACTACGAGTTCTACAAGTCATCAATCCATAATCATCGCTCTTAGCTCCAAATCCATGATTAAATTTAATTTAAATTGAAAAAATTGATTTTTAATTAATAAAATTTGGAAGTAAATAAGTTTTTTTATAAAAATTAATCTAATATAAAACCAAGGGAGGAGAAGTTGTCCCTTTTTGCGGACATCCATGTATCTGAGATCTGAAAAAGTAAATGTTAAGCAAGCCCGTGCTGACTAGATGTTTTAGGTACGGTACGGTCTGCCGGGCGCGACGACCGGCGATCATGAACTATCGTCGCGACTGTTATGGACTACAAGTGACGACCGCGAAGATAAAATTATTATTTTCGGCCTGTTTTCACTAACAGTAATATTGTCAATTCAGTTTTATATCTCTTCAAGTACGCATTACGCGAGTAATATAAATAAATTCTTATACAATTTATTCTTAATAATAATAATATTTTAAGTCTCCTCTTAATGGATGAGGCTAGATTATTATCTTATTTAATGCCAAAGAAAAGAAAAACAACGGACAATATCTTAAAAAATCGCAAAAGTGAAGGATTTTTTGAAATATTAATTAATCGACATTTAACAAACAATCACGTTAAGTTTCGTAAATATTTCCGAATTAATTATGAACAATTAAATTTTTTATTATCTTTGGTGGAAGAAAAATTAACTTTACCACCTAACAATCAAGTTAAGAATCCTATATCGCCGGCAGAAAAATTAGCAGTTACTTTAAGTTATTTATAATTAATTTAAAATTTTGTAAATTGTATCTATACCTACCAGTGGCGCATTAACAGTATTTACGGTAGTAATTAAGTTTGAATTCTTTTTAAATAGGTATCTTGCCACTGGTGAATCATTGAGATCATTAGCATTCGCTTTTCGTATCAGTCATAACTATTTAAACATAATTATAAAAAAAACACTAGCTGAATTGAAAATTAAATTGATGCCCATTTTTTTGCCTGATTCAAAAAATATTGATTATAAACAAAAATCCGCAGAATTTTCATACAAATGGAATTTCCCAAAATGTATTTTAGCAATTGATGGAAAACATGTCCGTATACAAAGTCCAAGCAATTCTGGGTCATTATTTCATAATTATAAAGATTTTTTTTCAATTGTACTTCTGGCAATGGTGGATGCGAATTATAAATTTGTTGCTGTGGAAATTGATTCTTTTGGTAAAGAAGGCGATAGTAGCATTTTTTTGTTCAAAGAATTTTTTAATAACGAAAGGGCTCTTTCTTGGCAACCAAAATCATAACGAATAATTAACACGTTGGCGACGAGACCCGTTTTTAATAGTCTGTCCACAGTCTTCAAAAATTTAAATTGTTATAAATTCACTTTCAGTGAGTTCTGGTGGAAAATTTTGGTACCATTCGATTCGTATCAATTAGGTAAATTCAAATCTATAATAAAATACATGGGTGTCACCGGTGCCACCTGCATCTGTAAACAATGGAATAGAAAAATATAATAACATTTTAAACTAAGAAAGTTAAGTCAAATGAAGAAATATACGGGTGGCATGGGTGCCTTCCATCGTCTATCAATGAAAACAGTCTAGGTAACACCGGTAACACCCACCGTCATCAACGTGTTAAAGTTATAAAATAATAATTACAATTAAATAAAAAATCACATAAATGTTTATTATTAAATTACCAAACATAATAAAAATACAACTTTTAATAAAAATTATAAAATACTCAACAAGTAAATGTTAATGAAAAAAATATAGAAGTATTTATACATCATACAAAATAAACGTAGATTTTATATTTACAAAAAAATAATAAAAATTAAAATTTTTAATACTCAATAAGTAAATAAGCGAATATAAAAATTGAAGATCAAAGTAAAACATATTACAGATTGTAAAATGTTATGCAGTAGGGGGGTTATCATAGTTGTACATGGAAAACTGTGAGTCTGAAGATCTTGAGTACATACTTCCTGATGGGGAAGGCTGAAAGGAATGCAATATTTGAAAATGTTGTTGAACAGCATGCGGGTGTATAGGTTGTTCGTCTAACAAATACTTTTCTTTAAGTTCAATCATCAATGAAAACATTTTCTCTTAGCTTCGAGTTGTCCTTTGGTTGGTAATTTTTTAGCTGTAACGGCCATAGTTTTCAAAAATAAATCAAGTTCATCGAAACTTTCTTCTTTCTTTTCCAATATTTGTTTATTTTGATTCATCATTTTCTTAATAAACAAACTTTGTTCCTCTGAATTATTCACTAATAAATCGGCAACATTTTTTGATTTAGTAATACCATGCTTTTTAATTAAAGTTTCGGACGGTAAATTATTAGCTGCTTCACATAGTGTATCAACGCCATTTTCTTCATCGCAAGGAACGTCCATAATATGATCTATAGTTACGTTACAAGTCGAGCTGAAAATTTTAGTTATTTATCGTATATTACAATTTTTACATATGAAAATTATTTATGATTATTTAATAATACTGTAATCAAATAATATTAAAATTATATGAAGATTAAATTGTTTTTATTACATTCTTTTTTTACCAACTAGGTACAATAAATTAGAGATCTCTATGATATTACTTTTATGAATACCCATTTTTTTTTTAAATTATAAATAATATATAATTTTAATACATACTCTCGTTCACATTCAACTTGGTCCAAAAAAATGAGATGTGTTGCCAATGAACACTTTTTTTTGTTTGATGCTGCCGATCCAGTTCCCAGTTTCCTTTTATTTCGTTCTTTTATTACGTATCTCTAATATTTTTCGAGCGCTTTTTCGTTTCATCTACTACAAAATGATTAAATACATTTCAGAATTATTTTATGTTCTTGAATAAATGTAATGAAAATTATTATATTATATTATATACCAGATTTTCCAATTTTTGCCGATATTTCTTTCCAAATTGTGTCCTTAATTATAATATTTTTATAATCCGTAGCAGCTATATTATATAATATAGGGTTATTTTGAACTTCTTGAATTAATATTTCGTCTGATGACGATGAAAATACTAATTTTGACATAGTGTTGTCGAGATGTGTCGCGCGTATACTGCTCCTGCAGCAGTAAGTCTTCGGTCGCGGCGACCAAAAGTTGATATGTCCGCGACTTGTCGCGTCTTGCAGACCAGATTATACAATTTCTATAAAAATAGATATTGATGACAAATCACGGCGACCGGTCGCCACGACACGTCGCGCCTGGCAGACCGTACCTTAAGGTTTTCAAAGAACAAGGTGTCTGAAAATAGAAGGCGACATTTCAATGCAAATGATCCCTTTTCCAAGTTTATGATGTAATAAGCAAAAGAAAGGTTACAAATAAACTGAGAAATTGATTCCAAGGGTGCCCAATTTTCTTGTTCACATTTTGTTCGGTCCTGGTGCTAAGGCTACAACTGAGCCTATAAAAAAAGACAGTATTAGATCCTACGCAACGCTGGAACTCAGAACTGGCCTAAAATTTTTTGAGTGGATGGCATATCATACAAAAATAGCAGACTTATTTTTCATCAAAAACATATAATGAACAAAAAAAATTGCTAAATTGGTTTGTAAATCATTATTTTCGTAATTGGTAACGGTAAATTATATTGTTTATTTATGTGTATTATAAATTATAATACACGGCAGTGTGGCGGGCTAAATTTTAGCAATGTAAGTGTATCTTCACACGAAACATTTTATTTGGTTTTTCAAACCCCCTATTTCGGTTTCTACTTAAGATAGGTTCTTGACATTTTAAGTGTAGATTGAGCTCTAGAAGCTTAGGATGCTGTAAAAAGATAGAAGTCTAAAATAGTATGCCTATCAAAATAATGATATCTACATTGCGGCCAAGTTCTTTAATTTATAAACTCACTTCACACGTAGCAACACTGTCCTTTTATTTTTGTTGTTAAACACTTGTGGCCAAATACTGACTCAATATTCAATTAGATATTATGTGGGTGATGGGAAGGAGAAAAAACTTAGCGGAAAAAATAGTTTTTCCCGAGATTCATTATATAGTACGGCAAAGTCGATTTTAGCCCACAAAGTAGACAAAAACTGGCCAAGTGTTAAACGATACAAATAAAAGTGCTGTGTTACTAATAGAAGTACGTATAAAGTGAGTTAATAAATTAAAAAACAGACTTCACTACAATATAGATATCACTATTTTGATAGGCATGTATTTTTTTAAGGGGGGGATATTCTAGAACTTGACCCTTTTTAACAGTTATGTTTTTTCAGGATTATAGTTTTCTGTATGGGATACATGTCAAAAATGTTTTCAAAGTATAATATGTTTTTATATGTAAATAAATACAATGTTTAAATGCGATAAAATATGTAATTTAATTAAAAATTGAATCATTTATTTAGTTATCATAAATTATTCTTGTATAGCCACAGTTTTTTAATTAAGGTCTAATTAATTTGTATATTCATTTTCGAATTAATTTGCAATTAAAATGAAAACACGACTTCAGTAGAAATTTTCTAACTATAATTACTATGGGAATAGTGTAGTAGATCATGAAATTCAATAAAAATAAGTGACTTTGTCAGTAAAATATAATGCATGTAGTTTTTTCAAGATTAATAACCTTATTAAATTAAATAGAAAATAGTGGACAATTAAAAATAAGAAATATAAAGTAGGAAATGGATATTTACAACGTGTGTTCATAGTTCTAATAAAATATTTATTATATCTTTATATTTATTTATTATAAACTTATATCTGATTAAGAATATAAAGTTATGGCACTTTCAATTTTAAAACACCAGCACAATGGGGTAACGACATAGTTGGAACAAGTATAGATGATATCAGACAGTGATTAATATCACTGTCATAAAAAACGCCTCAATGCAAATCTGTTAAATTTCATAATTGGTACTATTGCAATTTTTTTATTTCTATTATAATTTATAATTTCTATGATTTAAAATTTCTCTTGAATATTAAACGCATGTTAAATAATTTACTTAATTGAAAATAATTTTTTGACACGCTTATATTAGTTTCATATATATGTTGTTTGTTGTAAGTTTGTAACTCCACGCGCCACTTGTTATTATGTCGCGTATCCCGTCGTCTATAGCCTTGAGACTAGACTGTCGTAACGCATTCACCCCACCCCGCTCACCAATCACCGCAAACACTAGTTTCCTGTACAATTTTTTATTTTTGGTTTTCGTACCTGTATACGTGTGCGTGTCATCAATTGTATATATATGACAAATTTTTATTGTGACTGACACGGCCCACTTCGTTATACACGATGCCCTGTGACTCGTATCACCTTTATCAGCCGTCGCCCTACTATGAGTATTTGACTGACCAACAGCGCGCGTTATATGCCGCGGTGCAAAGTCCCACGGCCGACGACGTCCCGCCACTAATGACACCGTAGTCTTTTTCCCGTTGTTAAAGTGACAATGTCGACGAACCGATCCATACTCGCGCACCGTCGCCATCAACGCTACTAACCTTTTGACGCCCGAGGATCACGCCGGGGACATCGCGTCTTCGACGCCAGCGAAAGTGCCGCGATATTATGCGACCATTATATATTCTTACCACCGCCGCCGTATATGCCTCGTGTATAACGTTCCCCCCCACGCCCGTCCCCAAAACGCGGCTATAACTCGTGCATGATACGTTTACGTACTTAGGTCGCTTTACATGTATATATATATATATATTCTAATTACTATTAAAACTTATATATTAATACGCTTTATTCTCATTTAGAGATATAGAGTGTATTTATTCCGATTACGGGGANAACTTATATATTAATACGCTTTATTCTCATTTAGAGATATAGAGTGTAATGATTGCTGTATTGTCATTTTTCGTCACTACCTCCACGTTCCGGGATGTTCTTGGATGTGGTAGCCGTTTCTCAGACTCCATCTCCGGAATCGAACCCTGATTTCCTGTTACCCGTTACAACCATGATATTGATAGTAACTACTATCATAACATGAAACTAAAAATTATTTTGAACTTTTTAGTTCGATGTGCTTTAAAAGCGTGTTTTTTAGCTTTTTTAAACTATATTTTTTGCTTTGATAACCGAGATCTCTCAGAACAATCGTCAGAAAAATTTTTTTTTTAACATTTTAATACATTTCAAAAACTTGATATTACCAGACTTTCCCGAATATTTATAAAAATTGAGTTTTAAAATAATGTTTATACACGTATAGGTGGTCTCTTTCAAACCCATTCTTGTACTTGATTTTTTCATTGGACATTTATAAAAAGTATATAATAAGAAAGCTTATTGTTTCTATTATATTGTTATAAAAGTTTGATAGAATCGGTATTTTTAAAATAAAGTTATACCAATTTTAAATCGCAGATTTTTTTTTTGAAAATGCCATGTTTGTTTAATGGTTTTGTAACTTTGAGATTTTTTTGTCCAATTTTCGACGACTATAAATTCAATTAAATTAAAATCGGCTTCATTTGATGTATTGATCATTAAAACCGGATCAGTGAGAGCTGAAAATTTTTAGGAACAGACATAAAAATTAATCAAAACCAAACCTGCTCAGCTTCGCATCGAAGCTAAAAGTACGCTTTCTATTCCCAATAATATACTGTTTTTGTAATAAAATTTACATACAATTAAGTAGGCAATGATAACAATAATTAAGACGTATTTAATATCCCTATACGGAGTGTTCAAAAAATAAGGAAACAGATCAATTACTACGAACAATGAGAACAGTAGAAACATTTTTCCTTACTCATAGAACACTATATAAATTAAAATCTACTATGAACTCGTATACGAGTATATACAGGGTGTTCAGTAAGTCAGGAAACGGGTTTCTATTGTTCTCATTGTTACAAACAATGAGAACAATAGAAACCCGTTTCCTGACTTACTGAACACCCTGTATATATGTACGTGTATATTGTATAACTTAAATTATACAATTATTTATAACAATTAAAAAAAAAATCTTTAATTTTTGTTATAATTTACAAAATTGTATGTATACTCACTGTATAATATTGTATTGTATATTCACTGGTGAAATTTCTTAATAATTTGAACTCTTTTATCAGTTTAAGTTTTAAAAAAATTGTTTGAAATGTTTAGAATTATAATTGTAGACATTTCTAAACAGACATTTTATTAAAATGTCTACAAAAAATGTATTATTAACACGCTTATATTAGTTTCACTTGTATGTTTGTCGTTTGTTGTTGTTGTTTGTAAGTTTGTAACTCCACGCGGCACGTGTTATTATGTCGCGTATCCCGTTGTGTATGACCTTGAGACTAGACT